GGTAACAATGATATAATAACATTACCAGTAATATACGACTTATAAGTTATAAATTGTACAGCGATATAGTTGCATACTACTTTAGTTTTTAATACTAGTTATTAACTTATGTTCGAATAAGATACAGCACAAAGGTTATAATTTACTCAAATTTCGAGTCAAACTCCGATAGTGATAATGAGACAAAACTACCAATACTAATAATAGTAGTAGTACTACAAAGTACAAGTTATAACTACCACAGTAACAATACTATTTTATGTATAACGTTAATGTTGGTCTGATTGGGCTATTGCGTTTTTTACTTTTAACATACTCCAGACTTTTCATAATATCTCAACCTGATCTCTTATGCTAATCCTGTCTTTTCTTAAATTCCTTCAGTATTGCAACTTCTACCACCACTCCTGAATTTGGTTACCAGATTTCTAAACTGAAAAGCTGGAACATTTTTCTGTCTATGTAGAGTAACACTGTAACAGCTTTAAAACAATTTATATTACAATAACATTTGTACTATTTCTTAAATAGTCAGATGTTTATTGCATTTTGTTTTTAAAATGGTAGGTGTATTTTTTATTTATTATTCTTTTAAATAGATAAGCTTTTAACAAATTTTGTTTGCTGAACTTGTCTTGAATGTACTCAAAAGAAATATGTTATCTACTAGTTTCCTTTTTTGTTGCTTGGCAGGTATTCAAAACTTTATTCCTGCAGCAGCCCAGTAACAAGTTAGGTTATGAAAATGTGAGATCTGTATTTGTAAGGTGATTCTCCAAGTAAAATGTAAAGAAGCCACACATAATGAAAACACTGTACTAAAAACTGAGGTGATCACAGTTTTACTGGTACATCTGGTAAACCTGTTTCTGAAGGAAAATATGGCTATTAAAAAAGTTTTCCAAATCTTCAACCTCTTCCCTCTAGTTGTTTGTCTGCAACTTTTCTTGTGAAAACATGATCTTGATCATCATATTCCAGACTTCAAAAATCTTAATTCAATAAGGTCCCTCTGAGCAATTCTCCTTTAAACCAAAAACCTTCCAAGAATTTCAGCCTATTCCATGTATACAGTAACTCTTTCAAACCTGGAGACATCCAAGTAGTAATTTCCTGAACTCTCTCTTTCACTCCAACAACTAGCCATCCTTTCATAAATAAGTGACCAAAACATAACACACTGTTAAGTACTTCTGTTGATCTCTGCTATTGCTAGTGGTAACTCTTTTACATAAATTAATCCTATTAGGAAAATAACTTTTTTTGTCTGGAGCCTAGCCTATCTTTAATAATGTTAAAATTATGGCCTCTTTTTTTTTCTATTGCCTTCAAATTGAACAAAAAGAAATTGATGACCTTTATCATATCAACCACACATTGATAATATTTTAAATTTCATTAGTTTCACTTCTTACCAATATTTTTTCAAGAAAAAATTATATTCTTAACCTATCCCAATAAGATACCCATTCCATCTCTGTACTGTAGTCAACCTAGTAGCCCTTCTCAGAGCCATTTTCAATAAGTATTCTTTCTTAGATAAGAAAATAAAACCTTTCACACAATATTTCCTGTGAGGCCTACCAACAATTTACATATAGAGGTCAATACATCCAAAAATTATATTAGTTTTTCTACTAACAACAGAGCATTATTTTGATGCCATCAGCACCACTAAGTCGATAATATTTTGACATACTATTGAGTGGGTTCCCATCTTTAATAAATGTGGTGAAAATTATGGTAACCCAAATACATTACCTAGTACATGCTGTAATTAGTTACTTGCCAACTTATCCAAGTCATTCTTTATTACCTTAACATTCTCATTATAGCTAGAAATGCCTAGAGTTTAATGTCATCAGCAAACTTTATTAATTATGCTCCTATCAATAAGACAATTGTATTTAATTAGATGTACATATTATTGGTTTTTATTTTTTATTTTGACTAAGTAAGTAGTTTACTTTTATAAGAAGTTGATATTAGTAATTTATATAATTAAGAAAAAGCAAATGCTTAAATAGTGATACTTGAGGCACACTCAGTAACAAAGACCCACTTTGGTTGGACTTTATTAATAACACTTTTTGATTTATTTCATTCAGTCACTCTTCAGTCTCATTAACTGGTCTTTCCACAACTCCACTGATGTGATGGGTTTAACTCATGTTCTGTGTGGTATTTTATTAAAAGCCTTTTGCAAATTTAAGTACACTAAGTTTATGCCCTTTCCATCATCCAGATAAGTAATTTCCTCAAAACCAGTTAACAGATAAATAAATCAAAATTTTTAATACATCTATGTTGTTTTTCATTTATATTTCACTAAGTGATTTTTTAAAGTATTCCTTTTTATCAGATTAAAATTTTTCACACAAGTTAAAACTGACTTATAATTTCAACTACATCAGAAATGCTGTGACCAAAGCTTAAGTTTTTGTTCAACTAATATCTTCTTAATTACAACAATTTATTTCAAAGATGTAATATAAAACAGAAAGAAGCTTTGTTAATTTTGAACTTCTAGAATTACCGTACCAACTAGTATATTTTACTCATTTCTTTTAAAATCAATGACATGAACTCTAGTATTTAGCACTAGTAGCCTAAGACAATTTTAAATTAAGGGACTATTTGGCCAGATAAGGATGTTCTGACTTCTAATTTCCCTTAATAAACAGAAAACTGGTCTTTAAATCCAGATGTGATCCCTAAGTACTTAAAAATTCTTTTCTTAAAGTCTTGTAAAATGCTAGTCTCTTCCATTCAAGGTGGCAATATATTTCACAATTTTACCACCCTGTTGTCTGCCCTTGATTGGTACTGTAGTCTGTACTCCTTGTAGGTGTGAAACACATATGTAACTTGCACCAATCTTATAGTTGTGGTTGAGAAACTGCAAAAAAATGTCTTCATGCTAAATTATTAATATCAGTTTAATAGTAGTGATGCTATAGTCCAGGGGTTCTCAACATTTTCAGTCTAGGACCCCATTTTGTGTGGGTGAATATTCAAGTACCACAGCCATTTCTTAGATAACGTAAAATAAACAGAGAATAAATACCAATCTATAAAAAATGATGCTACAATAATATAGTTCTACATTTAGTTGAGTTTTAAATTATTCCATAACTTTAAAACTTGATCATAAAACATGTAGAATTCTAAAAAAGATAGGCAGAGCGTGGTCTAGTGGTTGTGCTATGGACTGTGGATCTTGTGGGTCCATTATTTGTATCCCATTAGTGCAAAAAAAATCGTATTTTGCATTTTGACCCTTGGATGCATCATAAAGGTGATGGTAAAATCCCATTAGTTGGTCAAACAAAAGTTGCCCAATAATTGGCATTAGGTGTTGTTTACCAGCTTCTTTCCCTCCAATCTGTAATTTTAAAATTAGAAATTACTATGCACATATAGCATTGTGCAAAAATCTGAAACAAAGTAAAAAGATATAGCAACACTCTTTGAATAGTTAGTATAGTCAGTGGACCACAGGGTAAGAATTATTATCTTTGGGGATTTTTGATACACTGCAGAGAAAAAGAAAAAAATAATATGTTGAGGAAATTTTAGAGTTATGAGGAATTAATTTGGCATTATTTCTTCATTTAAATGTAGACACCTGATATATTACATACAGAACTTCTATTTATAATAATTTACAAGTATCTTACCTAACTTTTGTGCATTAATCTTGTCTAAACTACAGTGTATGATGTAACTCAACAGTCTCATGTTTTGCTCAGAGTTTTTATCATTGATGTTATGTTAATAATTTTAAATGTGTGAAATCAGTGTATGTTGAACTATGGTCTTTGAATACTTCATTGCCAAGTTTAAAAAAACAAAAAGATAGAGAAGTTTCGAGTTAGTAATTTTTTGTTGCTATTGCTTGTGCAAGAATTACCACGTAGATTTTGATCTACCAGTGTCTGATTGGATTTGCCATTCAGCATGTGAATGTCACTTGTCCAGTGTTTATGAATTGTCTTGTATAACTCATGTTAATGTATTGATAAATGAGAAATCTGATATCGACAAGTTCAGGTGTTACTGTTATGAATATAACAACTATATTAATTATTATTCAGGTTAATCTTCATCTTACCTATACATTAATAGTGTTAGTATGGACTGCATAGTATATGACTCATAATATCATTAGATTTAGTACTGCATTTATGTGAACTTTACCCGATTTTAAGTTACACGTGAATAACTTACACTTACAACATAGAAGATTAAAAATATGGAATTAGTATCTTTCTCATGCTGGTAACAATGGTATAATAATGTTATAATAATAATTATATTTGTTATAATTATAATATAACTGTCGTAAATAAGTACAAATTAATATTTTCAAGTTAAAACAACATTTAAAGTATAAGATGTAATGAGTGGTTTTTAGATTTAGCAGTTGTTTACAAACGTTTTTTTTTTCAAATTTATTTAGGTGAATACAAAGCTCAGTATACAGTGCAACAATGTTTCCTGGATGTTTGAGCATATTCTGTCAAGATGCAATCAAATTTACCAGTATTAGAAAGGTCAGGCAGTTGTGCAGAATTATTCCTTACAACAGAAGTTGTTGTCCAGTGACATATGTCTTTTTCAACTCTGAAACAAGACATCTCTCTTCAACTGGGTCCAGACATCAGCAAGTTGGGGAAGATATTGAGCAGAGCCTAACTGCTGAAGTTTGGGATATTGTTGTTTCCGGTGGTGGTTTAGTGGGAAGTGCTATGGCATGTGTACTGGGTATGTTTGATGTACATTAAAATATGAGAATTCTATCAGTTCCTGTGAAACATTTAATTCTTAGAATTTAGAAAGTTTTCTACTTGGTTTTTTTCTATACATTTTGTATTATTTTTTGAAATTGGCATAAACATTTGATTTATAATTTTTTGAACCTGATTACTGGCATTAAAATAAGCCTTAAAACAGCTTTTGAAGTTATTGGTAGAACAAGAGTTTAGTCAGAAAAAAAACTTTAAGATGTTTTCAAAAAGAATCTTGTTAGGAAGCTTGTACATGAATATTAAAATTTAAACATTTATTTTAACCTTAACTTCATTACATGATTTAATTAATTTAAATAAATAAATCGGAGTTATATCAAGGGGAATTTTAACTTATAATGTGTGAAATACTCTTGTAAAACTATACATAATGTGTTAAATTGTGTGAAAATTTTCTAATATTTATATATAGATAGTAACATGTTATGTTTTTCTTTCAGGTTATTCTTCAGTTTTATTAGATAAGAAAATATTGATGTTGGAGACAGGACCTCCCTTCTCACAGAAACCACTAACAGAAAAATATAGTAACCGTGTGTTTGCCCTCACACCGGCTACTCGGGATTTACTAAATAGTAAGAGACTGATACTTTTCTTCACTATTTATATGAATCTATCTCCAGTTATTATGGGTATAGAGATTACCTTCAGTGATCTAAAATGACAGATTGCCTAGACTAATGATAAAAAAGTTAATTAATTCTAGAAAAATGGATTATATCTGAAATAGGCTTTTGTTGTTTTGGCCACATACTGCCTTATTCTTAAATATGATGCATTAAATGTAAAAATTATTAATTCTTTTAATCAAAATGACATTATATCTATCATATGTGTAATATTCATTATTGTTTTAACAGTGTTTATCCACTTTAGAAGTGAAGGAATTTTATTTTGATTTCATACATACAACATGATATTCAAAGTGAATACACATTTTTGAAAATACTATGTGCATTTTACATGTATTTCTTAACTCTTTCAGCATGGTCTTGGTCCCACGAGACCAATCTTGTGACCATTTTGTGCTAGTTATAGTTTTCATACTATAACTTTTAAATTAGTAAGTATATGTTAACAAAATTTGGCAGATTATCAATAAACATTTCAATGCTTTCAGATGCAAAATATCCAATTTTATTTTTATAACTCTTAAGGTTTGTTAAGCAATGTTTTTTCATGCCTTTTTTTTTTTTACTTTTTGCATGTTGCCTATCCAACATGCAAAGAA